CAGTATACGCCGTCAAGTTGTTTGCAGCCTGCCAGTGAACCCAAAGCAGAAGAAGAAGAAGAAGTGACGTCAGCGGCTTCATTTGCCTATTCCTCCCTCATGGACTTAAAGAGTTCTGAGGAACTAAAGTGGGAAAAGTACTGCGGTGTGAACGCGCCTTATGGCACCAACCTGAGAGTTGAGCAGCTGGGCCCGTTGAATCTGAGACAGAACAGGACCCACTCCAGGGGGGAACGGACCACGGCATAATGGGGAGTTCTGGACAAAAACAGCAAAAATATATTTTCATAGACATGAAAACTGAAAATGGAGGTTGGACTTCAGACCGAATGTTCAAGCTGTTTATCTATATACTCCTTATGGAACCATTCATGTCTTAACTTCACTTTTTATGCGACACCAAACTTAAAAGCAGCCCTGTGATGTCGTTTGGATTAATATGCAAACAAACCGGGGAAATTAGAGGGGGGGCGGGTAGAGGAACACTTACAGCTATATTGAGGAGGGTGTTGGGTGACAAACGCTCAGGGAAAGGAGGAGGGTATCTGTGCTGGATCGGGGCTCTCACATGAACCGCCGTGGGATGGTGGATCTACAAACACATACACACAGCGCAGGGTTAAAAGAGACAAAGCCAACTAGAGGAAAGTAACATCCCAACAGCTGTTCAACCTACATGATTAACTGACTTTAGTTCCTCTAGTGGTAGTATACAAGAAACACTAGGTTAGATGCTCTATTAAATGTATTAAAAATAAAACATTTGGATCCTACCAAAGCCAAATAGCATTCATTATGTCATTGTAACCTTGGAAATTTTAGAAAGGGGGAATGGTTGAAGGAAATCTGTAAGGAAACACTTCTGTTATTCACCTGATGATTCAGGGCATGGCTCATTGGCTGTTTTGGCGGGGTGCCAATAGGCACTGCCCTCACAGGAGGGGAGCCTATCACAGGGGAAGAAGAGCGTGGAGGTGGGACCCTCTCTGACAAATCCCGTCCTTCATCGCTCCTACCCTGAGGAGGACGTGTAGGAAGGCCTACCTCATTGATTATAGACATTAGTGGACTATCCTGAAGAGGAAAAAGAGGGGGAATAACATATTAGTTAACACTGATGACCTGTCCAAAATCACCACCTTGGTTAAGTCCTTTACGTGCTGAGCATACTGGAAACAAATTGGAGAAATATGTTGTGTTGTGATGGATCATTCCAGACAGTGGAAGACAACGTTTGAAAAAAAAAAAAAAGCCGGTGACCCTTACCTCCATGTGTGTGACTATTCCAAGGGTTATACTGACTGGACCAAAACCCATACTGTTCTCCCAGATACTGTGAGAGTTCATCTAGAGAGAATGACAGAAATTTGAATTAACAGTGGAGACATTTTTTATTTTATAACAACAAAGATTAAATAATTGTTACTGCAACAAACAAGTTATACAAATATATTTAACAGCATGAAATCAAATCCAGGAAATGGTTTCAATCCTAATTCCACAAATAATTAAAACCCCAAACCTGGGCCATAGGAGCAGTTCCTCTACGCAGCAAGTGCTGCTGCTGTTGGTAGCTGAGCATGGAGGAGGGGGGAAGGCCAGGGGGCAGGCCTGGAGAAGAGCACAGCAGATTTTAATAGAAAGATTACACAGAGGGTAAACCCAAGCCCCCAGGAAGTGCGCCGGACTCTGAGGGAAATATGCGTTGTGGCCAAACGGCGGTACTACACTTCCGTATCAGTCACTGGGCCCGGAAAGATTTTTTCCCATTGACTAATATTGGGAAAGAGACGTCTGTAAATCGTTGGATACTTTTTTTTAAACTAAATAAGCTACCCAGTATGAACATTTGTATAGCCCTTATTAAAAACATTCGTTCCTCAAGTTGTAAAATGTGCTAATAACGTTATTCGGAGAGTTATTTTCCTCGCCATTATGAACGCGGATCTAACCCACGGGACCGCGCCGCCCGGCACGTTCATGTTACGTGTTCAGTACTACATGAGTTTTACCTTTACCATGGATGCACAATAGGAACGGACTACATGATTATATGAATACTTTCGTGACGTTTCGCTCTCTCAAAAGTTGGGCCATTTTGTCTTCATACACCAATGAGCAACTCTCATAGGAATGAACGAGGCCCCGCCTCCCACGCTGTATCCAGTTCTTATTATACATCCATGGGTAAACCACATTGTCAAAAAGTAGCATAAAAAGGGTGTTGTGTCTGAAGGTACATTTGACAAAACACTCTTTTGGATGGCAAACAAAGCTCACCTATTATGCTATATTTGAACAATATATTATAGGGCCATATCTATAAAAACATGTTTCTGGAGTGTTTTGCTCAAAATACCAAACAGATCCCCCTCTATTTCAGCCCTGTTACTAAAGTGCTGATTCTGGGTCTGGCCCTTTAAATGTAACTGAGCTGCTGCTGACAACGCCCCTTTGGAGCGCCCATCTGCATACAAGCAGTGAGCTCTGTGAAGAGAAGGTTGTCCACCAGCAGAAACTCAGCTAAACAAGAGAGCTATCAAGGTGTTTGACAGAGAGACAAATTCGTACCATCCTTGAAAAACACATTTTCTTCTTTTATTTCCTGCTTCTTTACACATATTCTCTCCAATACAGCGTTA